AACTTTTGAAAGTATAGTAACCTGTTGTATTCACAAGGATTTGAATTGCTTCATAGTAATGATTGCCTGTAAAATTTCCATCTGTAAAATTTCCATCTGTAAAATTTCCATCTGTAAAAGTTGCATCGGTGGAATTGGAAAAATTGAAATTTCCATTACGAGAATATCTTTCGCTGTCAACTGTTAACGCACTGGAATAGTTTGAAATAATACTCGTTGAATTTATCGTTGGCATTGATGTCCATGAGAATCCTGTTGTTGTCATTGGTCTTCCTATTGTGGTCATTGATGTCCATTGGAATCCTGTTGTTGATGGTGTTGTTGGAATGAATGCTAAAGGTAAACCATATTGGAAAAGTGAAGTACCCTGACGAGAAGGAAGTATCAGAAAGGCTTTGCTCTTCAACTTTAATGAAGTGTAGTGTTTCTCCGTTGAATTAATATTATCAAAATGTTTAAAATGGAAAGGATTTTGATTTGTTAAGAAATGTTTTATTTTGTATCTCCAGTCTTTATTCGATGAAGGGATATTCCTAAGGAAAATGATTAATTTTCTTACTTGTCATTGCTGGTGGACATAATCTTTGATCAACCATTGACAATGGATAACAAAGAGGTTGAGAATTACACTGAGGATGACGAACACAAATGTGATCAGTTTCCTGACAAGCATCATTTGGTGATTGGCATGGACTAAGTCTCGAACAACTGACTCCAATAAGAGCACAAATACCAATATCATCAGTAAACGATAAATGTAAACAACCACATCCATTATTTGATGAACATTGACCATATTGAGATATACCTGAACATGTTTGACTGTTTACATTCACTAGAAAATTATCAATTCAATAGAAATATATAAAAAATCCTAACCAAACCTGTTAAACTATAATAAAAAGAAAATATTTAATGTTAAAATAGTTGAAAAATGAATAAAATATTTATTACCTTAGAATAAGTAACACTAAACAAGCGCTCACTGCTGTAGCCATTACTGACGTCGAGATCGAATAAAATCTTGATCATATCTCTCCTTTTTATATCCAATCAACAGGTATTCGTTTTGAAGCTTGTTTTTCGTCAATAATGACACAATTATCTTTCATCGAATAGAAATTTGATATTCTCTGTAATTGCCTTACCCATTGCGAGCTTAACTTGAAGAAAAAGTGTATGAAAGCAAATTAAATGACGCCGTATCATACTAAACATTCTCTTATTTCAATTCCATCGGAAAAAAAGTGTGAATTTTCAATCGATCCTTTCTGATACAATTCGTTATGTCAGTAATAAGACAAACTTTGATTTAGCAACAACGTTAAGTTAAACTGTCCAATCAATTCACTTTTTCTTAGTCGGATGATATACAGAATAATCTTTCTCCTGCCTAGAAATCGTCGGATAAGTCGGGACTAGTGACCGGCGTGACTGCCGTGACTATCAGTGAGTCACGGTCACGGTCACGGTCACGGCCGTGACCGTGCGTGACTTTTTTTAAAGATCGTGACCGTGACCGTGACCGTGACTGGAGCTTGGTCACGGTCAGTCACGGGAACTTTCTCGAAATTTTGGAAATCCCTGAGGGGGAGTAAGGGGACCTTCGCGAAGCTACCGTCTCCCACCCGCTCATCAGTTTTTATGAATAATTTGGAAGTTTCTAGTATTCATGATTTTGGAAACTCCTGAGGGGAAGCACGGACACCTACGCGAAGCTACCCTCCTCCGATCATCACTTTTAATAGCAAACAGAACCCTAGTCTCAATCCTGTTCATTCCTTTAGAAATTTTGCAAGGATCTGTCAGGATTCTAAATCTCCAAGATCTTATCAGGTTTTCCTCAGGATCCCGGCTCAATTCCTGATAATTCCTGCTGCTGTGATTTCTCACAGTTATACAGGATCCTGTTTAGGATTTCTTTCCGTATCTGACCAGATGTGTTTGTAGATAATGAATACAAGATCCTTCAAGGATTCATTCATGATCCTGCTTAGGATCCTAACAGGGATAATGGAGAGGATTCTCTCAAGATTTTATCAAATTTTAGACAAGATCTGATGCGGATCTTGATACAAGGATCCAGTCAACTTTTGCAGCTAAAACTGAGGAGCGTCGCAACAAAAAGTCAACAAGAGAGCATATCAGTGACTGTTCTTGTCAGTTAATACAAGTAGAACTTCTGTTCATACCCACAACCACATCTTGTTTTCTAAATTATTCCAGGTTAAACAACAATGGTAACCTGGTCAGGGTCCTGATGTAATCCTTTTTCGAATCCTGCTGGGATCTTGAAATTTCGTGGCTACACACTTCTTTCAGGATTTCATCATTTCCTCAGGAAAAAAGAGTGAATTCTGGAAAGATGCTGACTGAATCCATAAAGAACCTGGTACGGAAACATCAAAGATTTTCCCTAGGGAAGCTTTGCAATTGCTCTTTCTGGAAAGATTTTTTTCATGTTGAGAAACCAGAAAGAAGGGCCGTGACTCACGGTCACGGTCACGGTGAGCCCAGCCCGTGACCGTGACCGTGACCGTGATCAACCCCTCGTGACCGTGACGTGACCGTGACCAAAAAAGTTGGTCACGCCGGACACTAGTCCGGACTCTACCCATGTCGTGAAAATTGGAGACCGCAGTATCGGTCTGATATGAAATGAATATGAGAGTAAGAAAGACTGAATTTCACGTTAAAAAATTTTTTTTTAGCCAGGCTGAGATTTCTGTTATGAGAAAAAATTGTGACGATTTGGACGATTTCGAAAAAAAATCGCCGTAAATTTGTAATTAATCGTATTTCACAAATATATCGATGATTGATCAAATGTTATCGTGACTATGGAGGAAAAAACGATTTTTTCAGACTCAGTAACTAATCAGGACGATAAATCGTGTTTGATCACTGATCTCGATAATTGATCGAAAAATTATCAATTCGTTAGAGAAATATTCTCAGATTTACACAATTAATATCAAATAGAATTTCTGAAGAGTTTTTTTAATATAGCCATAGAAATTTGGAACCAGAAAAATGTTTCATTTCGGTATGGATGTGACCGAACGAGATTGAACAATTCTAAAAAATGGTCGAGCTTAATTTCTCATTCACATTCACTTATTTCCAAACGGTTTTTTTGATAATCGGTAGTATTTTAAGATTAAGTGCTTTTTCAATTGCAACTTCTTGCAATAGAAGTAGTTTTAGATGGCTCTATTAATATTCAATAAATGTAAAGTTAACAAATTTGCCTTTTTTCTATACGATGATTCTTTTCACCCTCCTAATCGTATGTACTTCTGCTTCTTGTTTATGCTTTTTATTCATTTTGTCTTTTTTAGATTTTTAATTTACGAACAAAGATGAATACACGTAAACCGTTTTCCAGAAAAGACTATGCAACTTCTGGATATGACAATAAAAACTACGTTCAAGTGTATGAAATCAGTGGTTTATCGCGTTTCAGCTCACCATTATCGTTTCGATATGTCGTGATTAATCTCCATTTTGGAGGGCATGGTCCTTCTTTCCGCTATGAAGCATTCCAAAGCCTATGAAGACTTTTTTTTTGATTTGTCATGACGTTCGAGGCAATTATTTAAGAGTATTATTGTATTCAATTTCCAATTTGTCTAGGATTAATTCTTTTTTTTAAATTGAATGACTTCTACAAAACACAAAGAAAACCTTGAAACAGATATTCGATTCAATGATAGAGTGATTAGAAATAGATATAATTATATGATTAGACCTGATTGTTATAGAAGAACATTCGAGTTTTTATTGCATCAAAACAAAAATTCGTATCAGTATGAACATATTCAAACTATTAATCCTCAGTCGCATGATGAGTGAATAGGTTAATTAGTATATGAGAACAGCTACCATAATCAAGATTTCACTCCACCTACGCAGAT